AGGAGGAAGAATGAGAGAAGTGCTAAATATATTGAATCTGTTACCAGTGTTCCTCTTTCAGATTATGCTGAGGATTCCAGGTACAAGTGTCATTGCTAGTTTGGGGTTTTTTTCAATTTTGGAGGTTTTTAGGTTTAGGGTGCATCCCTGATTTACAATAGTACCCTTTGGTGGGGTGTGTTTTCCACACCTGAGCCGTGTTTTTTTCGTTTTAACTTAATAACGGCTGGCACCACAATCTAACTTTTTTAACTCAATAGTTGAGAACAAATGTTGCGATGCATAGGAAATCCGTTTGTTATGAATAGGGTATGATGGAGGACAGTCAAACATCTCTTTCATAAACTATTTTTTTACAATCCGACTTTTCAAAACCATGCTATCCGGATTGGTTTCCATATTAAGACATTATATACTATGTTAAATTTAACAAATCAAACTCTTTTTATAAAAAGGTTGAATGTAAATTTCTTTAATAAACAGCTCACGGTTTTTTTTTTGAAAACTTCCCTGTCCAATTTATTACAAATAAGCTAATCTTTAAATATTAACCTTTAGATAACCTATAGACAGCACAAACAACCAATCAGGGTTTTGTGCAAATAAAAAAGAAAAAGAGATTTCCAAACTTAATTGCACTTTTATTTATAGGCAATTTAGATAATTTTAATAAAATAGGCTTTAATTTGTTTAGCAAAACATTTTGATGATCATTATCTTTATTCTTTTGTCACTAAGTCATTGGTTTTTAGAAGAACTGAGGCCGAATTTAAAGAATTTGAGCCGCGGCTTAATTATGGTTGGTTTCACCTTAAAATTGTATCAAATGTTTCAAGATTTAAGCCGGCGCTCAATTTAAATCGGGTTTTTGCGGATTTAAGCCGCGACTTAATTCTTAAAATTCGGCCTCTGAACAGCTCTTTTTCACAGTTTTTCGTAATAATGAATCGCTTGCACCTATTTTGTTTAATTAAAATGTTTAAATATTTTGTTTTAGGTCTACAACGTCCACGCTGGCAACAAATACAACAGGGGCTTCAAGTATCTTCAAAACCTCCTCACTGTTCACGGTTAGAACTATTTAGTTATTAGTTTTTACACCCTTCTCACCCTTCTACTCCTTCTCACTGTTCACGGTTAGAGCTATTTAGATATTAGTTTTTACACCCTTCTCACCCTTCTCACCCTTCTCATCCTTCTCACCCTTCTCACCCTTCTCACCCTTCTCACCCTTCTCATCCTTCTCACCCGTCTCACCCTTCTCACCCTTCTCTCCCTTCTCACCCTTCTCATCCTTCTCATCCTTCTCACCCTTCTCACCCTTCTCATCCTTCTCACCCATCTCACCCTTCTCACACTTCTCACCCTTCTCATCCTTCTCACCCTTCTCACTGTTCACGGTTAGAACTATTTAGATATTAGTTTTCACACCCTTCTCACCCTTCTCACACTAAACAATTTAGCTTAAAAAAGAAAAGCAAAGTCATTTTTCCAATTTTTTAAAGTACCATTTTTTTCACCCGCCTCATGTGTTTTTTCTTTATAACTTAATAAAATGCCTTACACTAAAACGTTCAATTTTCTTCACTTTTTCAACTCATATTCGAAAACAAATTTTTTCACAAAAAATTTTTTTGACGGGTATGGTGGAGGTTTTCAAAACACAATAAAATACCTTTTTCCTAAAGATTTCGAATTTATTTTTGTTCAATGAAAAGGCCTTCAAAAGTTTGATTACGGAGATGTATCACACTCCCATATTTCAACTCTAATGGCAAAATCATATCTTTAATATCGTATATCTATAATAGACAAAAATAGCCGAATCGAGTATAGGGTTCAGTACTTTCCACTTCAGTTCATATTTTTTTACTCCAACTCCTGGGAGCCGCACCAACAACTTGGGAACTAATTCAAATTCCTGTGAGCCGCTCCAACACCCTGAGAGCTATTTTAAAAACCTTTGAGCAGACACCGCCCCTCCCTTCCTTTAACTCTCCTCTTCATTAACTGTAAGATATTATGCAAATTATGACTTATACATGGCTTTATGATGAGGGATGAATATTAATGCAATGGGGTGAGGACATAAGCAGGGGATAAATTCAGTCAAATCTGGGTAACCAAGTAAAGTGCATGAGCTGGATACTGACTGAAGGTCAAATTATATTGTAAACATATTTTCTATATTTAGTATTCAATAAAAGGATATATTCCAAAATATTTTGAAATCCGGCTCTCTCGGTGTATTTTTAACTCAAGAAGAATAATATTGGGATAATTTACATAGAGCATTTCAACAAAGAAAATATATTTGCTACATTTTAAGGAAATATTTTAGATATTTTAATTTTATCATTAAAAACGGTAAGATCTCCTGTTTTAAGACCTCCAAGGATCTAAATAATGATATTATTGATCAATGATAAAATAATGCTATAGAACATCATAAAGAATAAAGGTTCTACGACTTCCAAAAAGTTTTATAGATGAAAGGATCTCAACGCTGGCCCCAAACTCTTCTAATAATCTAATTTAATCTAATCTAAGCTTCTAATAATCTAATATGTAAAATGTTGGTGTTTTAAACGTTGACTTTGACAAGTAAACTTCTTAAGATACGGACTTTGGCAGAACCAGAATATTCACAGCATACAAAATCATTGTTTACACCTTTGATATTTCAAACTTAGATTCTTTGATCTATAACAGAATTCTAACATAGCTTGGAATATCTATGGCCTTCGACATTGGGTTGCAAAGATATAGGGATTAAACACTCTGAGTTAACTATCTTATCTATGTTTGTTTAGATTGACAAAAAGTACGAGTTTTCAAGAAATCAGCTGATTATCGAGTTAACTATCTTATCTATCTATGTTTAGATTGACAAAAAGTACGAGTTTTCAAGAAATCAGCTGATTATCGAGTTAACTATCTTATCTATCCATGTTTAGATTGACAAAAAGTACGAGTTTTCAAGAAATCAGCTGATTATCGAGGAAACTCTAGGCGAAGGAGAATTTGGAAAGGTTGTCAGTGCTNCAAGTCACTACCCCCACAGCCCAGAGTTTTTATTCAAGTTGTCTTAGAAGAGACCCCTGATCTAGAAACCTTAGAAGAGACCCTTGATCTAGAAACCTTAAACCCCCGATCTAGAAACCCTAGAAGAGACCCCTGATCTAGAAACCTTAGAAGAGACCCCTGATCTAGAAACCTTAGAAGAGACACCCGATCTAGAAACGTTAGAAGAGACCCCTGATCTAAAACCCTTTGAAGAAACCCCTGATCTTGAAACAAGACACCCCTGATCTTGAAACAAGAGACCCCTGATCTAGAAACAAGACACCCCTGATCTAAAAATAATTTTCGATCCGTCATTTTTTCCTTGTCTTCATATAAAAACACAAATATTTGCTGATATTTCTGTTCAAATTGATGGACTTTCGCTAATTTTTTTTCCAGACAAAGGTTTTAAATTCCAGCAGCCATCATCATGTGAGTTTCCACAAAAAATTTGGGTCTGATCGGTTCGAGCGTTTTTGCATGTGGACACAAAATAGACAAACAAGCCAATTTTTTATATATTTTCTACATACATCGATATAGATAAATAATTGCCAGAATTGCTAAAAACCCATGATTCGACTGAAAACTTAAACCCGCTGTTCGGCAAGGGAGGGAACCCCCGGGCGCCATGAGCCTCCGCCGTGCAGACATGAGCCTCCCAGATTTGCCAGGCAGACCGAGCCTCCGCAATTCAGTAAGAGCCTACACTATGCAGTAAACAAGCCTCGGCTATACAGCATAGCTTCCTTGTGACTTTTGGTTTTTACATTATAAAAAGATTTTTTATAAAATAAAATTTTTTCTCTAAATGTTATCTTTTTTGCGAAAAACATGTTTATAGTTTTATAAACCACTTTACTCAGTAAAGTTTCAGTAGAAGTAAATATTTTCATTTACTGCGCCGGTTTAAGGATTCATATCTCTAATTGGATAATGAAATAGATAGAAAGATAGATGAGTCTATACTATTTCTATTGGTTCAGAATAGACAATAAACACATGACTGAACCCTGATAGGATCAGGCGCTAATGGACTCGGCATACCAGTATACTAGTAATAAATAATTAGTGACTACTTATAATAATTGATCAACACTTCTGATCTTTGATAAATTTTTTATGCAACTATTTCGAAAAAAATACAAAAAAAATCTTTACTTCATGTAAAAAACCAGGAGTTTTAAGGAAACTATTCTGTATAGCAGAGCACGTGGATTTAAAGGTTCTGTCAATATTCCAGAAAGCTGCAATTTCTCCTTTTACACATAATTTTTCAGCCTTCTTTCTTAAATACTTTTGTGCCGGCATATACGTTTTGAATAAAAAGTATTAAACAAACAAATCCTTCAGTTTAAAAATTGTTAAATTATAGACCAAAACGCGTATGATTTTAAATAGAAGAAACCGAATGCCTCTAACTCTGGTTAGTCTGGCGTGAGAGGCGTATTTACTGTTCCATCCCTAGTACGACTTGTACATAAATTTCATTAAAAAAGACAAAAATTGATTAGATTGTGAGTATTAAACGGGATTGTCAAATGTTGTTTCTAGGTAATATATAAACCTGAGCAACGTCGGGCACTCCAGCCTTTATTGACTATTTACAACTACTTTACAGGGTTCCCTGTACAAATTTTGCACAAACATCCAACACTTGTAAATTATATTTATACAAGCTGGAGTTCCCGACGTTGTCCAGGTTTATGTTATAATATATCATCATAAATTCAAATTTAAATGTGTTTAGCCTATACATGAGGTCAGAGCTAGTATTTATATTAATATTTATTTGCTTTCCAGGCTACAGCAGGGTAGCTGTTAAAATGCTCAAACCAAACCATGGAGCATCAGAACTACAGGTAACAAGTAATCAGAACTACAGGTATAACAAGTAATCAGAACTACAGGTATCAAGTAATCAGAACTACAGGTAACAAGTAATCAGAACTTCAGGTATAACAATCAATTAGAACTACAGGTATAACAATTAATCAGAACTCCAGGTATAATAATTAATCTGAACTACAGGTATAACAATTAATCAGAACTACAGGACTAACAATTAATCAGAACTACAGGTGTAACAATTAATCAGAACTACATGTATAAAAATTAATCAGAACTACAGGTATAACATTATTCAGGATGTTGATCTCTGAGTATAATCTCCTCAAGGAGGTTGATCTCCCTTAAAATATATATATATATTATTCATCTAGGATCTCCTATCTGAATAAAATCTCCTAAAGAAGGTTGATCACTCTTCTCCTATATAATATAAATATGTATATGTATCGATCCTGAAGAATGCACGAGCATGAAACATAATGTTGATACAATAAAACTTCAAATCATGTAGTGTAGTTATCCGAGCTGACCGGACGTGTCTTTGTGAGCTCCCGGATTAAACTGACCGACAACCCAACACCGGGTTAACTTATTCACATGCTCCATATTATGTGAAAACACAAACACTCAGATAACTTGTTTAGTGCATTTATTTCCAGTAAAAAATATTTCTACTAGACTCAAAATGACTGACACAAAAATAGACATGGGTCTTATAAGCGATTTAGTAAAAAAATTGGNTTAAGATTTTCGGTCTTACCTAAATATTCACATATAAATGTACACATATATATGTTAGCTATACCAAGCCCAACTGCTGGACCAAAATGGCTGAAATCTGTTGAACTTCTTTAAAACCAAATTTTTTCTTAAAAATCAAATTTATTTTCAAAAATCAAAGTTTCCTTGTTAAATTAAAATTTTTAATTTCCCGGGCGACGCCAGGCACTCCAATTTGTATTAAATATTATTAAAATTAATATTCAAGGTTTTTCAAAGCAATATCTACGTAATGTCAATATAAGTGTGAAACTTTCTTATCGAAAATGACGAGTCATTTTGAAGCAGTAAATAGACAAACAGTAGCAAATTATAAAAACATCATTTATACAAGAAAAACTTGAAAAAAATCAAAACTCATTCAGTAATTGACGTTTTAAATAAAACATTGATTATAAGGGAAGGTCGATTTTGCTATTTATTCAAAACATTTTGACAAAAGATGGGTCCGTTTTCGATATTTTAAAAATTGTATTTTTTTGCTCATAATTTGCTTTATTTTTAAGGGTTTTTAAATTTTTCATTTAGCGTTTATGAACTCGGTGTTTCATGACAGATATTTTAATACCTAGCTAGATTTATTTTGATAATTTAATTTAATTTACACGTATTAAAAAATCTAATTTAGACTTTAAAAACTGCACAAAAGATTCAAATTTTTTTTTTAATATTCAATAAAGATTACTTGAGAGCCAAGAAAGGTGGATTTAAGCAGTTTTATTAAAAAAGCGAAAACTGCGAAATAGGCGTGTTTCATGTTCATTGGACTTTTTAAAATCATAACTTGAGAATAAAAGTAGTCTTTCTATTTCGGAGTTTTCTGGTTATTACCGTAGAATTATTCAAATTTTTTTCAACATTGTGGCATGCAAGATTTATGTTGTATCTTGGTCGTCATGGTTTGTAATTGTAACTTATATTGAATCATAAAGTTGTTAATAAGATTCATGTTTTTTTAATAAAACATTTCTTACGCAGGAGGAGGCTATTTGGAAATTCATTTCTTAATTGAACTTAGTTCATTTGTTCAGTTTTTTAGTTTCCACTTAAAGAGTTATAATTTAATCAAGACAGGAATATGTACTGTTTTTATTTTATTTCTAATTTCAGAACTTTTCTCCGGAATTGTCGAAACCTATTTCAAGTTGGAGATCAGAACTCCAGGCAGAGAAGGTATACTGCTGCTTTCTTTGTATAGAAAAATTGGACTAGTTCTTAACCAACGTCTTTGCACGTTTTTATCACCAGCTATTGTATCGTTCTGTGCTTCAATCTTGAAACAGAAATTGGATTTGAATATCTATTGAACAGTTTAAATATAGGATTTATCGATCTATGTTTCGAAAAGTTCGAATAATGGAT